GAGAGAGAGAGAGAGAGAGAGAGAGAGAGAGAGAGAGAGAGAGAGAGAGAGAGAGAGAGAGCTAATGGCCCCAGCTCCTCTCCATCTTGAGCATCTTAACAATTGAGAAGAGTACAAGTTAAGACAAACAAGAAAACAAAGCTTCTGTTAATGCTGAAACTAACCATCTGCTTGGGTTAGTTTGGACATGAAGTTTTTTGGCCATACTCACACTAGCACTTTCCGGAATGCATCTGACTGCAATTACGGCCAAACCTGGATGAATCTGACCGCAATTGCGTCCCCAAATTAGCAGAAAAAGTCCTTGCGTGAGAATGCCCATATATATGGTCATCTCATGCCATGTCAAAACAGGGCATGGATAAACGTGAAACAGATTTCTTTCGACACAATGCAAGCACAAAGCACGATGCAACAAAAACAGGCATCAGTTTCGGTAGTTCTGCAGCACGAGAAGATGCATCTGGTCAGATATCGCCAGCAATTACTAATTATGAAAATAATAAAATAAAAAATGGAATCCTTGAGACCTGCCTGGGCAATCGTAAGGCAGAAAGGGAGAAAAGGACGAGAAACGGGGGGCTGTGACAGACTTTCTCGTCGGAGTTTCACCCACTTAAACCCCTTCATTCGTTGTCCTTTTCTCCCTCTGCGCCCACAATTCACCTGGCAGCTCTCTCTACGACCAGATACATTGTCGCACATCTATGAGCGCACTTTGCAAAACAAACGATCAAAACGAAAATACACAAGACGAACATGAAGACCACCATGATAAGAAAAACTGACCTGAACATGTATGTGGTTCTATAAATCTTGTTCTCTTCTAACTCCTGCTCCAAAAAAGAAGGCCGTCGAGACACAAAGTACCAAGCAAAACAGCTCAATACCAATACCACGTAGGCAGCCCCAAATCATTACATTACAGGTCCAATATACAGGATGACAATCTTGACACACAAACACACACACAACATACACCACACCACACAGGCAACTCTTGCACGCGTCGCTCCAATCCAGCACATGATCCTCAGGGCTTTACCCCCAGGGCACCACACTCCCGGTAGTTTTCAGCGTGATTCTAGAGACTCCGTCTACATGCCTTCTCAATCCTCTCCGATGTCTCTGTCCATGCGTTGTGTCCGTGCCACGTATTGCTATATTACCTATATATGACTCTGTATAAAAGGCGAGGAATAGAAAAGGCCAGAAATTGCATCATATATGCACTCTCTCATGTACGAGGAAACAAAACCCAAAAACTGACCTATTTTTCCATACCACTTGCAAAAGCCGCACATGCTTTCGCCTTTTCTATTTCACACACACACACACACACACACACAAGAGAGAGAGAGCGAGACAGACAGACAGAGAGAGAGACAGACAGACACACACACAGAGAGAGAGAGAGAGAGAGAGAGAGAGAGAGAGAGAGAGAGAGAGAGAGAGAGAGAGAGAGAGAGAGAGAGANAGAGAGAGAGAGAGAGAGAGAGAGAGAGAGAGAGAGAGAGAGAGAGAGAGAGAGAGAGAGAGAGAGAGAGAGAGAGAGAGATTTGCTTTGGCATAATACTTCAAAAATATTTTTCATACCTATATTACGCTGATCTGCGACCACCTTACTAGGTTCTGGGTTCATGACTTACCTCCTCCTCGTTCTCCGGCTTGAGATTGCTTGAAGGCATTGCATCTAAAACACCCATAACCTGAAAAACGCCGAACCGGGAGGAGTTAACAGAGAAGCAGCACAGAGTGAGAGATGCATTCAACATAGAGAGAAGGGGGAGGTAGGTGCATATGTTCCCGAAGAGCCCGAGACACAGCAAGGAAAAATGGTACTCAAATTTACTTCAGAGAGAAGTGGGATTGGTCCATGTGTCTATCTGAGATTGGTGCATCTGGTGTTGCTATAGACAGAAGGTGTCACTTTAGAGAGAAATGACCTAGCTAGGTAAGGCACGAGCACAGTGGGGACTTTAGAGCGAAGTGAGATTGGCGAATATGACTATCTGACATAATTGGCGCATGTTTTACAAGCTAACCTAGCTGGGGAAAAAAAAAAAAAAAAAAAAAAAAAAAACCTAGCTGGAAGACGGAAAAAACACAGGTGCAGCACAAACACAAAGTGCGAAATGGTCCAAAGATTTAAAAACATTTACATAACAAAGGGAGTTTAGGAACACGCAACTAGAAAATAGGTGACCACGGCGTCAGATGCACGATGACAACATCAGCAGAGAACGCGATGCTGAACTTAGTGTCCAGTGGTCGGAACCGGAAGAAAGGTATCACTGACTGACTGACGGACATACGGACGGACATACCAGTGGCCGGCACAACAGCTACCATCTTCCCGTAAACACAACGCAAGCTGGTCATGAGTGTATACAGGCTGTCTTTCCCTAACACAACGTACGCTGATCATGAATGTTAGCATTGTACACAAGCTATCTTTCCAGTCTGATACAGTCATGATGAAGGCGACAGTGTTCAGGGAAAGACGGTCGGCCATGCACAGCCCATGTCCCCCATCAATATTTGACTTCCATACCGGGAGGGTGACAGCACAAGAATGGATGAGGGACAGTGAGGACAAAATGGCAATATAGAGAACCCTCAGGACCAGGTGAAATAATCCACTTGTTTGGTGGGTAGCCGAGGGCAGTTAGTCAGGCCCATTTTTATTTTTTTTATTTTTTTTTAACTACTAAACCGGGTAAACCCTAATAAAAGCTAGGTTACCAATGGTCCGGGGGCCGCTCGTCTCCCCATACGTCCGGTACCCCCGTCGTCCGGAAAAACAATTTTTTTTTTTTTGAATTTTTTTTTTCTTTCGGTTTTTGATTTTTAACTCGTGATTGGATGCGAATTTGAACATGACTCCAAGGCAAAAGTTGCTTGTATTGTTATGTTACATAACATATATATTTTTTTTTTGCCCTAGGTCGGACATACCCTGTCCAGTCGGACGTCCGACCAGACGTCCGGTCAGACATCCCGGACGGTCAGGGGGGTCCCGGACGTCCGATCCAACAACCTAGAATAAAAGGCTAATTCTTTTAAGCCCAACCAATGACTCAGTCCCATCTTGATCCATCCCAGAAAATTGGTAACCAATTCTTTTTTTTTTTTTTCCCGTGTCCCGCGTAAGTTCTTAGATCAAGTGGTACACCAGAAATTTGACTGGCACGCTAGAAGTTCTTTGATGTTTTGAAGTTTTTCGAGTCTTTTGAAAAAGGCAAGGGAGCTTGGAATGGAGATAGATGCTGCAGCAGTTATGGCCCTTCTGTGTACAGGCTGCTTCCGGGGGGCACATAAACATACGGGGTGAGCAGGCATTTAGGAGAGGCCGCGTTTAAGGGGGGCATCATCATTTACGGGGGCCGCGTTCATGGGGCATTTACGTGGTTTGTGTGTGTGTGTGTGTGTGTTTGTGTGTTTGTGTTTTAGATTTTCCCCACAACAGCCCCAATCCCACCCAGGTGAATAGATTCAGAATCAAAGCAGTCTTTATCCTATTGCAGACAGCGAGAGCATTTGAGATGTCCAACATATTAAAGCAATTTTAAAATCAGACAGTTTTTTGGTTGTTCTTGGGGTACCCCTTTTATTGTTCTTGCAGCTCCCCTTTTACGGTGCCTCTTACGCACAGGCTGCCCACGTTGATTGTGGTTGAGCGGCAGCTGCCCACATCCCCGTGTGCCTCCACGGCCCACTTGCACGTTGTTTCAAGAGAGGTGTGTGTGTGTGTGTGTGTGTGTGTGTGTGCCGGGGGAGGGGTACGCTTCCACACACCCTATGGCCAAGAAGGTTGACAAATTGAAAACCATTTCTTGAAAGCGTTTTTTTCGACGCTTTTCCACCAAACCCTTTTGTGTGTTGTTGGTCCTTTAGGACTCTTTCCCACACAACAGTTTTCTTTTTTTTCCCTTCCCCTTATGTTTTGGCCTTGGTGCGTTTTGGAATTGCGTGCATTAAACCCACCACTACCTCCGAGCCTCTTTTAGCCGAGGCCGAGTAAAATTGCATGCCAAGCTTTGCCAAAGTGCCAGCACGACCTGTTGTTTTCCCTTAACTTTTGGCTGGTGCAACCAATTTTGGTCTGGTGGAGCCCGGCCTCGGACAAATGCGGTATAGGTTTATATTTACAACTTGACCTTCCATTCTGAAAGGTAGTGGTGGTTTAAAACCTTGCCGGCAATCGTCCATTGTGTCGGTGAAAAGATCTGCAGGTTTGGAACTTATCGCAGGCCCGTACCCCCCCCCTCCCCGCTCACCAGCTTCTTGAGCCCAACCGTATAGCTGTAGACCTTCTAAGGATTCAAGAGAGCAATGGTATAACTGTGGGCCTTCACCTTCTGCATCTGGCTGGTTGTTGAGCCCAGTGAACGTACGATTTTCTTTTTGTTTTCTCTTTTTTTATTTAATTTGATGTATGTATGTATGCGGTTGACACCCCAAACGTGCACATGCACACAGCCCGAGATACACATACAGATTGCAACACTGAGATAGAGAACAGAATATCATGCGAACACCCGGACAGGGCAAAATCTACACGCATTGTCATACAATCACAATTTATCAGGAGGCTATATATATCGTCACAAACAGAACTGCCCCGTAAACCGTAGGCAGAGAGAGAGAAGAGGACAACAAACGAGGGGCTGTGACAAACTGTTTCGTCCGAGTTTCACTGACTCATCAGGAGGCTGAACCCTCAACAGTCTGCAGAACCCCCTCACTGATTACACTGTAAATGATATCTACCTTAACCAAAATCAAAGTAGACTATCACTCAGAGACAAGATGGAAAACTCTACAGACTGTCGGTATATATATATATATACACATATATATATACATAGTCAAACAGAGCTGCCCGGTAAACCGTAGGCAGAGAAGGAGAAGACGACAACAAGGGAGGGGCTGCGACAAACTGTTTTGTCGGAGTTTCACCGACTCATCAGGAGGCTGAACCCTCAACAGTCTGCAGAATCCCCTAACTTATTATACTGTCAATGATAATCCACCTTAACCCCCGGCTGTGGTTACGCATCAACGACTGCCCGACAACTGATACCCTGAGGTGGGCACCAACCACTGCCCTCAAGGTACCCATGACGAAAATCAAAGCAGACAATCACTCACCCGCAGATGGGAAACTCTACAGACTGTCGGTTCACACCCCATCACATGCCAGCAAAACAGCCAAAAATACACTCCAGACATGCCGCTGGCATTAGAGGCACAGCATGGCCGTGTCGTGATGCCCCCAACCACTGCCGCTCGACCTGACCGGAGAAAACCGAAGCAGGGTGCTAGCGAAGTTGTGGTATATATTGTCAAACAGAGCTTCCCGGTAAACCGTAGGCAGAGAGGGAGAAGAGGACAACAAACTAGGGGCTGTGACAAACTGTTTCGTCGGAGTTATATATAAATATGTATATATATATATATCGTCATCTCTTCTCTTCTCTTCTCTTCTCTTCTCTATACCCTTAAAGCAAGCAAAGGGCCCAGCGTGACGCCCCCGCCGGGCCCAGCAGAAACCGGCGCGGAGGCGGAGGGTTCCAAACGGCACGGTAGTGGAGGGGTGCGGGACCAGGAAGACGGAAGCGTGCGAATGGCAGGGCGGACAGAGACCGCGGCGCGAGGGACTTGGCCGTGGCGTTTCGCGGAGGGCGCGGGCAAGGGGAAAAGGGTGGGCCAAGGTGCGAAAGCGCGGCGCGGAAATTGACCGTGGCGGTTCGCGA